GCCAGAGTTTTGTGTGGCATCCAAGTTGCATTTACAGGACAGCATATGATTTCCAGGCTCATAGGAATCCATGTTGTGCCTGACGTGCACTGACACACCAAAATTAATCCACTTTCTCCTGAAACACAAATATTGTTCATTGGAAAACTCAGCTGGCGAAGACACTTACGATAGACTATTGCAGAGGGACATCAAAAGTGTTATGAATAGCCTTCAAGAAACCAACGCATCACTCACAATACTTGTTGAGTAGTTGACTTCAATATCGAATGATTTGATTCACATGTCCTTATTTACATCCACCTGCACTGATGAAAGACGGAGTTCACTGGTGACAGAATTTCGGGAGTTTCAAATGTTCGACTAGTGAAATATCCTAAATGCGTCAAAGTGACTTCAAGAGTGTCAATAACTCTACTGTGAAATGCACCCTCAACAGCATCAAGCTGCTGACTATATGTGGCGAGAATGCATCCTCGCTAATCTTCATAAATTCTCACTGTGTATTGCAGTTAGGAGGTGTTTGTGGAAGCAAATATGTCGGTCGTGCTGGGTGGTGATTGATCAGTGAAAAACATGAGACTTATGCTATATGACGTAAAAAGAGTCAAATGAGTCAAACGAATCATATAAACCGTCTGACTAGCTGTGTGGATGATAACCGCTTGATGATTGGAGGCCAAAAACACTGAATCAAATTTGTGCAGTATTGCGTCTGGGGAGAATTTTCATTGAAACAATGTGCTAATCGCAGGATGCATTCTGAAATCATCTGATTATTGCACGAGGTTTGAGTGACACAGCGTCATCTATTGTCACTGCTTCCTTGCACCAACCCTTCACATCCACAACCACTGCATTCACGAGTGGTGACTGATTTCTATGTAAGCATTAGACAACAGGAATAAACAGGGCGAAATTCAGAGGACGCCTTCCAAAAAGTTAGTCACACAGGCATTTGACCGAAAGTATTGTCATCAATCAGAATGCATGAGAGTATGATGGCACTTTGATTCCTTAGAAGACGATGTACATCGAATGGAATATCCTTCTGTTTTTGGAAGTATGAGATTTATTGTCTGAACATTTTTACGAAAACGAAAACATACTGAAATCCATCGTGAATATTCATTCTGATGGGAGAATAAGACGAAGAGGAAGTGCGTGACATTCACTACTCTGATTAGAAACATTGACGCTAAACACCGAAACGGAAATGTAGAAATTGACTGAATTTCTTAGTGGATGATAACTCAGGTGATGCTATCAACGATGACCCTCCAAATGTCATCATCAACATTTCATCAATTATTAACGTCTGTCTAACCAATATTCCGTAAACTGAAATGCTCAACTCAGCGTGTTTCTTCGCCTGAATGTACCTACGAGTGTCAAATACGAGTTCGAATAGGGAAAATAAAGCATTCGATTATAAGCCCCTACTGTTCGACACGAAATGCTTCGTTGACAAATGTTCCTCGAAAGGTTTTGCAACCGTTTTTTACTCTAAATGGCATTCTGTTCAAAAGTTCGTCCACCTATTCTTCCGTGTACACATTTCATCTAATTCGTCGTGTTTCATTATTAATTATCAGATTTTGACGTCACATTTTATCGTATATTCTCAACAGTTCAGAAAATGTTTACAACCAAGTGACTTTCGAGGCTCTAAGATAGCTAAGAAAAGTCATCATCGTGGATGGCAGTGTGCTTGACAATGGACACCCGTATATCGAACTACTGTTCTTGGTATCGTAAGTACAAACTGCCGTTCTCTTCCTAACAAGATTATGCATCAGCAATCTCTCCTATCATCTGATGATCATACAACACGGCTATAATCAAACCACAAGAAACATCGCTTCATGAGCTCTTCTCACTTAAAGGTTTCACATTATTCAGACAGACTCGACTTCGTACCATAAGGGGACGTGGCAGTGGAGATGCAGCTTTTACTCATTCCCAGTAGTCATTTTCAAACGATGCATTTCTTCCGATCTCGAGTGACTTTATTGCTTGTATTACAGTCTTGTGCGTCGCAAACACTTATCAAAGTGTAAATACATTTTCATCTCGGTTGTTTACGTTACGCCTGAGCAGGCGAAACTTGTCACCGGCCCAGTTCCAAAGAAAACCCTATTCACGAACTTTGAATTCAAAGGTCATCAAGCTTCAGATATGCTCGAAAACCGTCTTTTTCAAGCAGTCAGTAAAACGTTCTTTGCAGAAAAATTACAAACGACGTTCACCAGCTGCTAGTTGTTCTCCATCTCTGTAAAGGATAAGATTCCTCGTCTGGCCACTTGCATGATCATCTATCAGTTCACCTGCTCATGTGGAGCAAGGTATATTGGCCGTAGCCTGAAGACGCTTTCCCCACAGATACGAGAACTTATTCCAGCAGCATGGTTTTCCAAGGGGGAAAGGAAGAGTGTGAGGAGCTCTATTCTAGAACACATGATCGACACCTATCACTCTGCCAGTCCTGACCATGATTTTACGATCGTCTACCGAAAGCACACTAACTTGCTTCATTTTCGTCGTTACTGACTTCTTAGGAGAGTGTAGGCCTTGGCAATTCATGAATCTAAGCTAGACCTTCTAGGTATTTGAACTAGCCAGCTTTACTCCCTGGTTTCGCTTTCTGAGTGAGTTGAAAACACTCTTCGTAATTCGTCACTGACTTAAACAGCGATATTGTGGTGAGAGCTGGCTGCTAGCCAAAGTTGGTAGACAGTAATTGACGTCAATGATTCTTCACTACAACCAAAATCATCGTCATCGTGGCTGAATCACACAACTCATCCATCAGTTTCGTCAAGTGAATTTCAGAGATAATGTGACCTGCATGTATCGTGTTTACTCATTCATATCATTGATATTATGAAAACGCAAGTGTACACAGTGTGAGTGTAGATATCTTTAAAAAGTAACTGACCTTGTTAGTTGTGTTCATAATCAATGATCACCATCACACACATAAAAATAACGCGATGAAACAATTTACACAGGGCGGAATTGTTTTTTGTGATTCAAGGTCATTTTCTTGCACTGTTTGTTTAATGAAAATTTGTCAGTATTACTAATTATTTGTATTTTATTAGTGATTTTATGGAATGAGAGTTTTTCAGCCAGGATATTGTCTCGAATACAAAAGAGCAGTGAGAACTGCAGGCGATTCAGTTGGGCGAATTTCCTGCACCGACACACTGATTCAGTTCACATATTGCACATGAGACGACTGACTTCACTCACAATTCAACTGAATCCTTTGTACCTCACATTTGGTCTGCCTGAAGGCATTTCTTCACTGTTCTTTGTGTACATTTCACTTCGGATTTGCAAGATCAGTGTGTGCTCGAAATAGCGCTAGAAAGCTTTATTCGAGATCTTCACAAACCCACTTATTGATTCAGCGTGGAATTTCAGGGGATATGATTGCACATGAGTGAAAATGATCCTTGCCTCAAAATGATCAATGCGGTTTTTGCATAATACGAGAGAATATAGCAGCTACTCTAGATTAAGTTTGCAAGTAATCCTAGTGAATCCATCAGCTCTGGTGTGAATTAAAGCAATTCTACCCAAACAAATCATTATGGTGAGCATCAAGATAGCTGTTTTTACTGAGAAGACTTCTTCATCTACCATGATTTATATCAACCCTCCAGACATTCTATCAGGGTATTATATGAAATATTTGTAGTTAACGGGAATAGCAATGATGTAGTTGTGTATACCATTCAGCTGAATGATGTCCTTTCGAAACTCTCATTGGTCTGTCAGGCAGCTAATCCATACCACACTTTGAGATTTCTGCACTAGTTCATCAGTCTGCGCTCCAGGCGACTGTGAATGTCATGATTTTCTTGCTTTTCTCCACTATTCTAGGTATTGATGTCACACACAAACTGAAAAGATCACTCCAGTCGGCTGGTTTTAAGTCACGTGAAAGACTTAACAGTGAAAGACAAAACCAACATCATCGACAAATTAGGTTGCCACGACTGAGATAAACACCACATTAGCCAAAGTGGACGTCCTGTCTGGCCGAACATCTACAAGCAAAATCTTGGAAGATGCGATGATATCCACCATCACATATCGCTGCATTCAGACAACCACGGACATTATTTCGACTGGGACAATCGACGCTCAGATATTCGGCGAAAGAAACGCTAAGTACTCCAGAGAATTTGTAGTGATCTTGGATTCAAGTGAATCGGTAAATAACAGGCAACTGGACATAGATAGATCTCACCAGTCAGTTAGAGGAAAATCTCATGCACAAAAAGTAAAACTCGAGGTTAACGAAACAGCCAATATGAATACCATTAGACTAGAGGGTGTGAACACAGAGAAGAGCAACCAATCACGACATTCGCAGCCGACATGACGCGCGACTGATAAACTCGTGGAGAAATTTCAAAGCCCACTTCGACAAATTGAAGTGTGCGCTGAAAATGTGGCCGAGTAAGGCTGTGAAGCACTCACAAGTACACCATGCAGCATAGACAACTCAAATGCATCGAAAACATTCTACGACGGAACTGCATCTTCACGGGATATTACAGCGTCCATATAAGCTCTTTTGGTGAAAACAACTCAATTCATATTCGGCTGAATCAGACTAAGACGAAGAAATGTGAAACAAACACTGTGTCCTTGAAGACTTCACCTGCTTTTCTAAAACGGAGGGAACGACCTAACTGAATGCAGGAAGCCATGGAATGATTCACTCACAAGAAGAAAATGATGACATTTTGTGTATTACTACAATGAAATAATATTTCCAAATGATACTCAAGTGTCACAAACTTCATGTGTTCGCCACTGCATGAATTCTTCTTACTATTCGGATTAAAGTATTTCTGCAGATTGACGGATTTCATCGCACCAATCAGATTCCGCCGATTCATTATGTGAATCGCGTGATATCATGATATGTTGTTTAACTCACCAATCAGAACACTCACCTACACTGTTCCACAAATGAACGATGAAATTATGATTATTGTAATCAACCAATGATCAGATTACAACGATAACTGTGACTGCTTGTTGTGGTATAAATACAGGAACGGAAAGTCAGTTACCATAAGAAGATGGTCTACTTCACATACAGCCACGTGGCTTTCGTCACTCTGTTGGCATTCGCAGCCATACATTCAGGTAAGCATTTTCTCAAAAGATGGTATATTTGTGGCTTAATCTTTACGAAATGTCTGACTTATTCACTGGCACTGGTCGCTCTAACAGTTCATTCTCTCTGGTGAGGCTTTTACTTCGGAATGATTACTTTCGCATATGATTTCATCTCGAATTCATCTTGCTTGATAGATGGTGACCGGAAGTGTAATAGTACTCGTTGTGGCGTTTCTCCTCTTAATTCTGCCTCAGAGACTATGTATATTAACAGTTGTACAGTGACATGCTTTCTCATTACGACAGTGTTTTCGGCTAAAAATTCCTAAGACTACCCGAATACACATTTTGAGATGATATGTTTCTGCACTGCAACGGCATACATAAAGCCCTCTCAAGTGGACAAATTGTTCTGATAATCTTCAGTTTTCTGAAACTTCTTCTTGGATAATAATTGTCGTTAACACTTCCTCATTTCATTTCAAGTCGAATCGTTGAATGAAACTGAAATTACATGGAGGCTAACATTAATTGCAGGTAAGAATTAATAACGTTCATATTACATGTGGTTATTAATCTACTTGAGAATTTGTCAAATCATAAATAGGGAATAACGAAAGTCTTACAATGATCGTTGTAGCCATGGTCTTCCTGGACGAATCGAAAATTGTTATAATATCATTAAAGAGAGTGTGGAGAATGATTGGCGTACCTGACTTTCCTTCAGAAGCTATTTCCAATGTGTATTATCCATTTGCACTCAGTCATCTTACGTCACATATAACAATTCATTCTAAATATTCTCGTCTCCTCACAGATAAAATACCCGGAGTCATTTCAGAGCTCAAAGCTGCTGAAGGGAGAGTACAAAATATTACAGGTATATATAACATAAAGCATGACTGTTGATAATATTTTCACGCTGACGAAAATATGCTTCGAATTATTCTTTCGAAATTATTCCTAATGATGACATCAATCATGTCATCTAGTATGTAGCGTATATCGACATAACTAAAATACACGTCTCTACAAGCTGTAAACTTTCAACGCTTTCGCTTTTCTGTTTCTTAGCCAAGATTCTTAGTCAGAAGGCAAGCTTACGAGGAGAATTAGAAAAGTGTAAGCAAACCGTATCTTTTGAAATGATGGACAACCTATTTTAGATATGGACTGTCTGGAAACTGCATACAAATACAAGTGGGGAAAAATCACATTTGAAAGTGCGTTATAAGAAATTCTTTTCATTTAAAACATAATTTTATTCGCGAAATTTATGCAGTACACACTGTGCTTCCACTTCATGAGTCAGAAGTCACTTTCGTTATACACTGACAGTTGATGCAATGCTCTCTCACTGATCATTTCAATAATATACGTCTCTTCGACTGTGGAGTGATGAATCTTTGCAAGGTTATTAACTGAAAAGTGATCAGAGCCGCTAAATGTGCCAACGTCTTTCTATCTTTCTTAGAGATCGGAAACTATATCTACTGCGGTGAGCTAGATATTTTGAATTATTTCTATACTTATCGACCATCATAATTATTTCTCGTCAATATTATGGCTAAAAGTCTTCACCTGGCTTATATTCACGCGTAAACATCTCAACTATCATTATTATTTCATTCATGTATTTTATTTGCTAACGTCAAATGAAGATGGAGAATTTCCTCATGCACCGATAAACATGAAGAAGTGATTGACGACAGATGTTTGACTGTTGTATTTTTCATTTTCGATATTCGTTGACAATCTACCAAGTAGTAAACAAATTTTATTCGCCTCAAATGTGATTGTGTCTGTGTTAACTATGCATAGATGTGTATCCGTATTATACTTAAAACAACAAAAGTGGATTGAAATGCGTGAAACTAATTTATATTTACAGATTATGAAGGTGCGTGGGATGACACAAGACATTGTTGCCAACAACAAGCTGCAGCATATCATGGTGAGTAATATTTTACTACTCTAATCGGTTGGTTTTATTTTGTCTGTGCGGAGTAACGATTTCGGAAATTTCAGTCTTCACATAATGAAACAGTTTTCCTACTTATACTCACCCACAAATAGAAAAAATGAAAGCGTTTCCTGTAGACGAATGTCGCAAAATTCTACCTCCAGCGAATCAAGAAGGTATTCTTTTTTTCCTCATTTAAATTCAAGATAAAATGAAAAACATTTTAACGTACACCTACGATGAGGGTATATTTGTACATGTCACAATACCTTCATCATGATTTGAATTCATGAACATCCACCTAGTATTGTACAATATAGTCTATGATGACGATTCTCCAAGAGTCGAAAAATTATGTATGGAGGAGGATGAACAACTTTAGTGTTGGTCTAGGATGGGGTCAGTCGTCTACAAATAAAATTGTACAGATGGTAAGAACATGAGTAGAAATACACAATAAAAGACAATCTGGTGAACGTGATAATGGATGAGTACAAGTATAATGACCTGATGACTGCAGTTTGGACTTCATGCAAGTGGATGAGTTTATGAAGTAGTCAATTGCTTGAATCTGTGCGTGAAACAGATTGTTTTGCGTCATTTCATGTCACGTAATTTTGTGTTCAAAACTCATAATTTGATTTTGAGAAATCCACCCTGGAAGATAACTTATTTCATGAATTATTTCAGATCTGAAGGAACTGAAAGAACAAATCGAAGGAGTATTCTACCATAACCACTTGTTTAGCATTGAAGTTTGTGAGTTCATTTTCTCTGTATAATTATTAGTCAGTGTCTATCTAATATCAGTTATCATACGAACTCAGTGACAGATAACAATCCTTTTAACTGATCAATTCAACTTTCCCAATATGTTTCATCATTTCTAGTTTACACGAACTCTTGCACAACCCTGTTGAAGTTGTTGACAGGTGAGATATATTTTGCATCAACTTCCACTGTCAATCATACGAAATTGACACGCGAGGATAAGGCCCGTTAATATAGCCCAGGTCAGAATCTCCAAGACACGAAGTGAGACAGTCTGGATGGAGGATGATAAGTGGACGAAGTACAACACAGGATTCGGATATTCACTGCAAAGCTAGAAATTTCACCGACTTTCTCCACCATACAGCAAAATATAGGTCAATGAGTGTGTGGTTCGAATTGAAGTCTCGAAAACGCCTGTTCAACCGAGTAATGAAAGCATCATCAGTGGCGTTGTCAGTTACCGTGTGGATATCGTGCAATGAATAATATCGTGGCAGTTCTAAATAGACGGTATCGTGAATGTATGAGAATACACATTCACATTTCATAGGCGTCACTGAGGATAAGCAAGCAAGCCAGCGAATTCCACACGAGTCATAGTGAATTACTGAAAGAGAGCAACTCATGTATTCAGACAAATAATGAGAACTGAAAGTGTCACTCATTGAAAATATTCAGAATTCTCCAATTGTATGAATAAGCACACAGTTCACCATTAATCATCCTCCCCTCCAATATACGTGTTTCTTGATTATTTCATTACTAACACTTCTCCCAACATTATTGCTGATTTAATTTACTCTCATACAGGAAAGTGAAGAGGGAAGTACCAGGATGAATGCCAAAGTCAGCGTATTACTGAACACATGTAGAATGTAGAAGCTTTCGTAAATATTTTTTTTTGAATTAAATTAAATAAATCACTCATCTGCTATACCGCTTTCTCTTCATGAATTCAAACTATTATTGCTTTGCTGGTTGTGATCCGGTGTGGTTAATATTCGAATTCGCTATGGAAGATTTTGTGGTGGGCTGTCGTCGTCGGGAATGTGGTAGTTCGAGGCTGTTCATAAGGTGGCTATTAGGATACTGATTCTCTTCTGTAGAATGTTCGTTAGATACTTCTGAGAGGGGACAGCGTTTTCATAGCACAAACTGTACGTTGTGTTATTCACACACTTGAACCCTGTGATAGATACAATTAGATCTCTTGGCAAACCAAAGCTGTAGTTGGCCAATAAGAACTATGTAATAGTCTAGGGCGCGAGCGCCATATTGTTCACGGGATTTCCTGGTCTTGTCTATTTCAGCACTGTGATTATCTCGCTTAAATGCGGCTTTTTCATTATCATTTAATTCATGGCTCAAGAGACTCAACAGAATGAACCTCGTGGATCCATTAGCTTGCGAAATTCCCAGTTGCAATATCCTAACTCACTAGCAATCGCTAACAATTGCTCATCTTCTAGTGATATTCACACTGCACACCAGATATCCAGTTCCTCTGTTAAATTGCATACAGTGACACCCGTTTGTACACTGACTAACAATAACCAACCAATTCAGTATATTGGGTCGGAGGCCAGGACTGTATGCGTCCCTGTTTGTAGTTCTCATTCATTATATCCCCACTCGGTTGTACATCGTGCATCTCCAAATTCAAATGTTGGATATAACTCTGGATCTATGACTCATGCTCATTGCAGCACTTCAAGTGGTCAACCGGATATGCTGAGCTATGCAGAACTATTTCCATACAACAAGTGAACAAAGCACGATGAAAAGTATCTTGTGATAGCAGTGGTCCAAGATCAGGACGTACACGACGTGATTGATTTGAACTACTACTACTTCCACTAGTACTAGTAGTGGTAGTGTTGTTTGAAGAACTAGACAAAGGAGTGACACCATCGAGTCGTTTTTCAATCCTACGAATTTCATCCATCAAAATACGCTCTAAAGCCAGATAGTAAAGTGGATAGCATAGCTGTAAACGTTGTTGTGCAGCAGAAACAGCTAAACTAGTTGCTGTTGACGTCGATGTCACTACTACTAGTAGTAGTAGTAGTAGTAGTAGTAGTTGAAGTTTTTAGTCCAGCATAGGCACGTTGAAATTGTACACCTAAGTCTTCAAGCCGTTGACGGATTACAGGAAGGGGGGATGTTGAACAATGCGCTTTAATTAGATCAGCTAAGGCTTCACTTGGCTCTTTATTTCGACCATTTAATAAGATTTGTAATTGATTGAGATTTTGACTTCTCGCCTCCGGATTGCAGAAATTAACACCTCCGTTAAGACGACTGATAGTTCCAGCATTGGCATTACCACGTCGTGTAGTTTCAGTAAAGCCACCAAAACCTGAATTACTCACCTCAAGCATATATCGACGTGCAGATGGTGTTAAGCCTGCAGGTAAATGAAATTCCGATTGTACACAACTTTCTCCAATCGACCCAATCTCTTCAGCTGCATTCGGATTAAGATAAATACGTTCATCGAAATCTCCAGTTCCAATGATGTATTCTTCATAATTATTATTTAAATTTTGAAGTGTTGCTTCAAAATTTTCTGGTTCTAATAAACTTCCAAGAACCGAGGGATGAATTTTTATTAACTCTTTTTCGATTAATCGCGCCGTGAACGTTCGGAAAAAGTGCTGTTTCACAGTTTTACACTCAACATAATTAACATCGTTATCCTCACATATTGGACGCAGCATACAGGTCGGTTGATCATGCGGTGGACACCAGGTTTTGTTTTGAGCGACTGCATTTAAAAAATCCCTGGGCAAACCATTTTGTTCCATATTGATTAAATCACGTCTTCTGGAAACCATAGTTGCTCCTAACACCCAGTCTAAACAACACGCCAATAAGTGGTAGGAGTTGACCAAATCATCTGTGACTGCTGGAAAACTCGCTCGAGACTTAATGAATAACAGCCACGTCAATCGGAATAAATCTGAACCCGTAGGATGCATTTGACTAGTTTCATAATCCGTGTCGGAAAATAGGACACCAAATGACCGACCGAAATTGCGGAAAACTACAGACGAAACAGAAAATTGACGCTCCAGTAGTTCGAGACGGTCTCTCATCTCATCCGCCATATCAGTCATGTCAGCCCATTTCCTAACGCGATGAAAGAATTGAACCATGCTCATTTTAGCCGTAGACAGCAAACGTGACAATGAAACGTAGGCGTTTTCAACATTCCCTGACATTCCATCTGCTGTTGAGCGCCGACAGCACTCGTATAATGAGCATACTAGCCACTGGAATTGATCGCCATCAATTGAATAATTTGCCCAGACATCTTTGTACTTTTCCCAGGCTTCTTCTCTAACGTTTCCAGTTTTGCTCTCCATCACTGATAACAAATAGATGCATCTGAATAAAGACACGCCGGATGATATCTAGATATGCTGAAATGTCTGTAGAATGAACATCCATAAATCTGTATGTAACGGGCGATGCCGAATAGTATGGTTGTAAACAGAGGAAACTGTTTATTGCATCCCGCTGTCTGGCTATTCGAAACTTCCTTAAGAGACTCACAGTCACAAAGCTCGACAAAGGCAGCTAGAAGTTTGGTATTAGTTGTAAAATATGCGGGGTTGTATTGAACGTCGATGATAATAACATGGAAAACTCAAAATTACCTCATCAGTATCGATAGGCAGCTATATGGGCAAAGGAAATTTCAAGCCCAGAACAAGTAGTGTAGGGCTGAATTAGTCAGCCGGAATTCGACCGTGGGGAATACGTGACAATCAAGTTAAATATTCACTATAAGGTGGCGTCAACACTCCTTTCACAAAAATCACACACCAAAGATTCAGGACTACAGACAAAAGTCAAAATCATCATGATTCTCTCAAACTAAATCATAAATTGAACCAACACATTTTCAATGTATCTTACAACCACAAATAGAAGCAGTGAGATTAGAGATCTAACAGGGAGAAAGACAAATAATAGGCATGAAGTGAACACATAATATCCTAGTGTAACTACAATCATGCGTAATCCAGGAGAAGAGAGGATGATAACTACAAAGTTAGTTGAAATATCCAAATAAGGATAATTATTTCAACTAGATTGTTCACGAGAGAACTTCTGAACAACTACTCCGTCATACTATAGCCTTAAGCATTCGTTACAAATCGAATAGACTGTTGAGAATATAAGAGATTGACAAATCGACCACATTTGAATCGAAACGTGAAGGTTGATAAACGTGTTGGTAAGAAATCACACTATCCTTGAGTGAGTTTCTGAATAGTGATTGCAGGAAACGCCGGAATGGAGTTTGAGGGAAATCGTTAATACTGACATGTATTCGTCCAGTTTCCAAAATGTATTCCAAGTAAAATATCCTGCACATATTAGACGGCATATTCCTATCCTGTATATCACGTATAAATCAGTGTTGAAGAATCAGTATTTCGAAATTCAGGTGAGCTTATTGAAATTGACAGAAATTTTCGGCATCTGAAAAATCACGCATATCTGACATGAGTGTTTCATCTTTCTTCCCCTGCACATCACATTAGCACAATATTTAACAAATTCACTGATGAAGTCATCAACCAATTTGACACCATGTGTAATGCATCTCACATCATGCAGCTATTGTGGAATTATCCACAAAGGACGACGACCTGTGAAGTCTGCTTGTGTAAACGAGACACTGTAGCCTCCAGTGACATCAGTTCTGTCGTGCATACCATGTCGGGTGAATCAGCAGGATGATATGCAGAACTGATCACCATATTCACTAACTCCCTCATTTGTGCATATCTGTGAGTAACCTAGACAGTTGATATCTGCTTCCTGACTCATTCGCCAATCACTCATTGATTTAACTCATCAACTAGAGTGAATACTTTAAAAAGATACACGACATGCAAAGCTTACCTGAGACAAAGGAGTTATCGGCATTTAGTTGAGCGGATTCTTTATGGTCGTTTCAATTGATTTCACGATGAATCTGTGAAGTTTACTTCATAAAACGATTTTGCATCATTGATTTCATCCATCCCACCTGATATCGTGAACTACATAGATTTTAAATTCAATTTGTAATTCACCATGGGTTATTTCTGATTATAACTGTAAACACTGGAAGTGCTATGCTGAGGATGGCTCAGTGATCTACAAATGACCTGGAATTTTCTTCCCAGTCACGAAATATTCTTGAACATTCACAGAATCGAAACGTTCATATGCCAAATACTCAACTGTGGATAGAATGGCATTTCGGATGTGTCAGTTACACCATGAATCTTAAATGTGCATCCTAATTTATCTTTCATTATACATAGCCAGTTGCACTGATACAATCAGTAGTTGTATATGTCAGTCGTCGGGTATTAACTCCGATTTCGTGAATACATTCATTGAACATTTCATATATGCATACGCTTTTTTGCACCGAATCTCCACTAAAGACTAAACATCAATCAGCGTTGCTTTCAGTTATTCAAACATGTTCGTCAGAGCAATGAAAGCATAGGCAAGCACATTACTGAGGAACATATTAGGCCAAGAATATTAATGGAGTACTTCTTATGATGAAGTGGAACATTGAGAATAGCATCAGGCATTCAATCTCACTCTCACTTATATATCTTCATTCAGTCTTTGTTCTCGTCTCTGTTATACTAGTCGTGTGGACAATCAGCAACTTCACTTCTCATTCAACTTCTTCAATGGCGATTTTATTCTTCAGTGTATTCGAACATTTACTCCATGATGCTGGTGCAGAGTCTGAGACGACATTGAACAAATAAAAGTTACTTCTGAGTGGCAGATCTAAGTGAAACAGGACGCCGTCACATTATTCAATATAAGACGTCTTTACATTTGAGCAAATCGAAGACACGGTCTTTCACCGTGAATTCGTCAATGAGGATGTAGGAGTTAAACAACAGCGTGAAGAGGAATGTGGCATTCTCCAGCTGATCATAACTCGTTATTCATAAGTAAGTATGGATTTCATGAGAACTTAAGCACACAGAGAATTAGTCAGTCTAAGTGGAATCAAGTATCAAGAAGCTAAAGTGAAGTGTAAACTGTGATCAATGCAAGAGCATGAGAATGGAACCATTGTGATACCAGATGTGTCAAGGGTACTCTACAGTTGAATATATATACCGAAGCACTTTGCATATGAAATGCCCAGAATGCAGTTTTTCGATGACCATCAGTGAACATGCTACCTACAGGGAATGGTGTTAACAGTGAAGATGTAAAGTAGAGTCTAATATGTTCTTCACGACGAATGTTGAAATGCGATTGCGAGTAACACATGTGAAAATATACAAGGCGCTTCAATTTTGATTGAGGTGAGCTGTCTGATGTGCGACAAGTGATGTGGATCAGTGTGAGAGAGTAGAAAAATTGATTCAGTCAATTGAGCTTCAGTTTTCACTGATCTCACCGATAGATTCTACACACTATGTGAGGTCCTATCGCTTCCTTCGGTTCTTTCAGCTGATCATGCTGAAATCGGCTATTTCTACAACAATACAGTTAGCAATAGAGCTTTCATTTTCATCATTGCTATAATTAAAATATTTCTGCAGTAGAATAATCAGAAAGAGTGATTAGTATTCATGAGACACATATCGCGTGATGGTGACCTCAAATATCACAAATATTTCTTGATTCTGTAAACAATTACGCATTGCCAAAATCACCTCATTTGTAGGGTGTTCATAATCTTTACTAATCTCTATTCAACTGACACACTTGTAGTGATCATTGTATATCATTAGTTGGTGTCAGTGAAATAACATCGATATTTCTTTTTTATGTTAACCATTATGCCTCCACAGAATCTTCTTTAGTCAATATTCAGCTAGCACACTGATTCATGATGAAGCACAGGTGTATCTTTCTTTCTATCACTTTCAGATATGAACTGATCCAATTAGGTGAATGAGAATTCAGGTTCCACTTTCAGCTATGAACATTAAGTTAGACAGAGTGTTGCATTTCAGTGGTAGACGCCAAGTTGAGTGGAGAACATTGTCAAACTAATCTCATATGATTAACATAGTGATGGCTTGGTGTGATCAACACGGGTCCTAGAAATCCCAGTATTAGTACATATGGTAAGAGTAATTTCAAAAATACAAATTTGAATAAACTTCTTAATATCAACATGTGTTCCAGGTGGAACATCAAGATTCAAGAGCACATCCTTATTTCATACTTATCGCTAAAGTCCTTTCCGAATGACATTAATAATAGTAATAATAATAACAACCGATTTATTCGAGACAACATGGAGTCCACAGCATGTTCTAAAATGCTCCATTTCATTTTTGCTCGTTACATAGCATATCAAAAGTTAGTATAGATACTACGATGTCGATATTATCAGCGACGTGAAAACAAATCGAAAATTAACATGCATATACTGACAAGAATATATTGTTGATAGAATGTATCTGAGTGGGCGTTTATTTTTGTAAGTATTCCCAGAAAATCAACAGCTTCATGTCTAACATGTCTCTTGTATCGTCACATGAAATGACAGTCAAATATGCCTTCCTCAAGGCTTTATATTATGTCATCTGAAGATTGAGTCTATTGCAGTTGGTTGCAGTCCCACTTGATGAGATGTGATGGGAGAGTTGTAAATGAAGAGGGAGCTGTGATCGTGCCAAGAGGATAAACACCAATTTTCTGTATGAATTCAAATGCCTGCCCAAAACAATATTAAAGCGTTTACGTATTGGAAGCCTTCACGCGCTGATCACAGCTGTCGATGTCCTCCACCATGTCACAAAGTCTTTTTCAACTGGTAGATGAGAGATAAATGAGAGCAGTGCTGGAGAAGGGGAAGCAGGTACACAAGAGGTACAGAGTTTCTCAAAGAAAACACTGGCGGATTGTCAACATGCAATAGTGTTCGGAACCGGACTTTTGTCTCACTACTGCCTGTATCTGTTCTCATTTACTTGTTCGTGTTGAGCACAATGACGCGGATGTAAGAGAGACAGAAATAAATCCCTAGCCTACAACAGTGTTCAACAGAATCGTGTGACTAAGCATTTGGTCAACATACAAGACCTTATAAACTTCATGCAATTCTTCCCATTATTAAACGTGAACAAAGCAAGAACCACAATTGTGCCAGGATAATATGAGCTCATCTTTTATTATTTCGAGGATTCTGCTCAACTGGTTACAACCTGAACGATAAAAATATGAATTTCATTAAAGATCTGAACATAC